AGATCGGCCAGCCTAATCAAGTCTTGAATATACTTATGTTAATTCAAGAAGATACCATGTGATATAGTATGGACCTCTAAGCCAATGAATTAAGTAAGCTTACCAATGTCTTTCATATGAATAATCAAGTGAAGATGCTGCTGAAGCTTCTGAATAAGAGTGTGTTTAGATCCGGAGGTAATAAAACCATACAAATGTATTCCTCGAGGTCTCCATGTAAAAATGCGTTCTTTACATCCTTTTGATGAAGAGACCTAGATTGAGAAGCAGAAAGAGATAACAAGAGGCGAATGGTGGTCATTTTAGTCACGAGAGCAAATGTTTCATCATAGTCGATTTCATGCTCTTGACGATTGCCTAAGACAACTAACCTAGCCTTATAACGTTCAAGAGAACCATCAAATCGAAATTTGATTGAATATACCTATTTATTCCCAATAGGTTTTATAGTCAGTGGAAATGGTACAATATCCCAAGTTTGATTGGCTTCAAGAGCCTCAAGTTTTGCATTAATTGCCTATTTCCACACTCTTGTTCCATAGCCTGTTTATAAGAGTTATGAATGAAAATTGAGTTAGGGGTAGCGGACATAAAGATATGGGAAGAGAAATCATACCTATTTGGAGGTCGAGGAACATGAGAGGTGCGACGAAGAGAAAAAGGAGTGGAGATCATCTGGTGAAGAATCAGATCTCGTAGGTGGAAGATCGGGAGGCTTAATGAGACAGGTGTTGGAGAATGAAGCTAGGGAGCTGTGATTGGTAGGGCATGCCTGCAAGAGTAATCTTGACCCAACTTATATCGAGAGAATTTAGCATCAACCAAACAGAATTTTGAAAAGGCATCAGCAAGGGTGTCGCCTACTAAAGCTAACCGATTCTTTCCCTGAATAGGTTGCTAGTGTTCGGTCCTGATCCAAGATGAGGAACCCGTAGGAAATCGGGCAATACATAGAACATAGGGAATGAGACAACAATTTTGGAAGTGAAAAACAACATTACGAGAAATCCTAATGCGATGTGTCTTAGGATCATAACAGACATATCCTTTCTAAGTCCTACCATATCCCAAAAATGCATACTTGACAAATTGAGGTTTAAGTTTTGTCCTTTCATGCAGTGGTAAGTGAACAAAACAAACATAGTTAAAAAGATTAACATGAGAATATGTGGGATGATGACCAAAGAGTTTATAAAATGGATAAACATTATCAAGAATGGGGGAAGGTAATTGATTTATGATATGAATAGCGGTAGACAAGACTTCACACCAAAAATTGAGAAAACAGAAGACTCAATCAGAATAACTCCAACCATGTCAAGAAGATAATGATTTTTACATTCTGCCACCCTGTTTTGTTGAGGTGCAGAAGGACAAGATTGCTAAAAAAAATAATCCTTTTGGTTTGTAAACACATTAGACATATATTAACTTCTAAATCAGATCATAACATCTTGATGGACGGGGAAAATTGGTTGTTAATGAGAGCAATGAAAACCTATAAGGTAGAAAAATCTCACTCTTTGCATGAAGAAAGTAAACCCATGTGAAGCGACTATAGACATCAATAAAAGTAACAAAGTATTTATAATGGGCACGAGATACCAGATGTGTTAAACCCTTTACATCATTATGAACAATATAAAAAATATGCATAGCATGAGAACCATAAGAAGGGAACAGTAAAACCTTGCTCTTAGCAAGTTTTGAGATACAATCAAGTGAGCAGAATTCTTATTATCAAGTAAACCAAAGTTTAACAAATAATGTAATACATTAGAATTTTGTCCCAATAACTTATGCTAATAAAAACTATTGAAAGTAGTAGAAATACAAACAATAGGAAAATATGGAACATGCTTAGGTGAAATAGGAAAGATACGTATCTCTTTAGGCCACTCATGATCGTTCTCCCAGACACCTGATCCTGCATAAGGTAACCAGAAGAAGAAATAGAAATAGTGCAGTTGTTATCTACAAGTTGACCAACAAATATATAAGATTAGTTGATAAACTATGAAAAACAAAAACATTAGGTAAATTTGTTGAAACATCACCCATTACCGATATATGAATAGTGTTATCATTGACAGTGTGTATATGGAGAAATCTAATATAAGGTCTGAGGTTACCAAGTAACTGAGTATCATGAGTTATATAGTTAGAAGCACCTGAGTGCAGTGAACAAAAAGGAGCAGTTGAGATTTTACCGAAGACATCTAATGTAGACAATGCAGAAATAATCATTCGTTGGATCATCTTAGGAGTGATGGTGCGTTTGATAGAACAGTGAGAGGCTAGAACTTAAGTGGGAGTAGCTAGCGAAGCAAAATTGGATGCTAAAGTGGCCACAGCAACATAACCAAGTCCAGTTTTGCATGGAGGACATATAGGACATTCTTTAATTACATGTCCAGACTTCTTGCAATAATTACACATTTTTCTTGGACACTGAAGAGCCATAGGACCAAACTCCTTGCAGCTGTAATACTGTACACTAGATATATCTCGAGTTTTGAATTTTCTTTGAGCAGCATATGCAACAAAAATTGGTGCTACTTGATTATGATGTTGTTCTAATGAAATATGAGTTATAAGTCATCTTCTTCTCTCAGTAACTTACCCATATAGCCATCCAAAGTTGGAAGTGATTCTCAATTCATAAGGCTAGAACGGATGGATTCAAATTCCCTTTGTAATTTTATGAGAAATCGATCCCTCTTGGTGACTACATGCCATGTTGGATAGCCTCCAAATTGTTAAGTGAAATCAAAGCATAGATAATATCTGTGTACTTAGTCCAAAGGTTAGAAAAACCAGAATAATACTCTTCAATAGACCGAGAGTCCTGTGCGAAATTCACCAATTTAAACTCCAACTAAAGTCGTCGATCATTGTTGCCTTGAGTGTAAATTTTATTCAAGTACTCCCACATAACACGGGATGACTTATAAGGTCTGAGAATAAGAAAAATTTTAGTATCAACAGATCCAATGATCCAAATCATAATTCAAGAATCCTTTATTTTCCAAGTAAGATACTTTTTCGTGTCCTTTTGTTGATTGAGGGAGCGGGAAAGAGGGAGATACTCCCATCAATATGTCCGCATAGATCACCTTTGCTTTCAACTAATAACTGAAAATGAAATGCCCATGAAAAATAGTTCTTGACAATAAAGTGAATGCAAATAGAGTCGCTCTTCTCAATTGACATGAAGAAATTGTGTAGAAAATTAATCACAATTCATAAATTCTGCCAATCACAATGAATTAGCCCAACTAATACAATAGTCCATAATCACAGCCCAACGAATTTTTAAAAAACAACTACCCAACCAAGTTGGTGTAAAAAGAGACAGGCCAAGACATAAGCCCAGGTCCAACAACATTAACCAAGAAATGAAACAAGAGCCCAACAAATAACAAATATAATACTTTCTGCCCAAATTACATGACCCAATCCACACATGGACCCACTCAATCAGAGTTGATGAAGTGATAGGCGAGAGAGCCAAATCCATGCACAGACCCAAACAACTGGAGACGACGACGAAGTGAGAGAGATGACTATGACGAGAAGTGAGAAACTGAAGATGCTTCAACCAATAATTGAACGATGAGGCTTGCTGGAAATCAAAGAGCACACAAGTACGAAGTAACCTAGAAAATTCTATCCCCCTGTCCACACGTAGAGAACGTCGAAGAGAATGACAGAGAACCGAACGTCAATGATGCCCAAGACTCGAGTTTCGATCAAAGATTACTATGAATAGAGGACGGTTGCAGCTTGTCGAATGACTGTCTGAGATGCCAACCACGAAATACTATGAATAGAGAGCCAAAATCGTAATTCTCACACGGGTGTAGGTAATTCTTGGCTCTAATACCCTATCAATTTTTGTGGAATGAATTTCTCGTGTGTAATGCCTTTGCTTTATAAAATGTTAAAAGTTATTTAATGATACAAAATATACATGGAAACTAATTATTATTTACAAGGGAACCATCTAATTAGCTGCAAGTAAATAATAAACTTCTAATAATACGCTAACCTAGATGAGGCATTGTTCCACCCTCAACTATTACCCTCTCTTAGATGTTCCAACTCGTCAACATCTAATAGTCTAACCCTTTGAAATTTTCCTGTCTTAAAATGTAATTATTCTCGAACATAGATCACAAGAAACTATAGATGAACTAAGTTTGGCATATCTCAAAGATACTTGACTGGGTCATTCCTTAATCATGGGGAGCGAGACCATTCTTTTTTTTTTTTCCCTTAATGATGGCGGTGGTGGTGGTGGGATTGGGTAGGACGTAGGTAGGTTGTTGGACTCGTTTGCTTTTTTTTTTAAAAAAAAAAAAAAAAAATTAGATTATGATTGAAATCAATTCTTTATTTTTTTCTTCTTTTCTTTTTGTTTATTTAAAGAGATAGTAAATTTGTTATTTTATAAGTTTTTATGGAGAAAAATATTCAAATGTTGTATTCCACAAAGTTTGGGTGAATTATGGGGGGTTTGCACCAAAATAAAAGATAGTTGAGTATTTCTCAATAGAGGTAAAGCTCAGGAAATTTTTGCCAATTACCATTTTTTAATTTATTAAGAGTGAATATATTCGCACCATAAATTTTACTTGTTAACCACATTTTAATTACACTAGGGGCCCCTAAATTTTACTTATTATAGTACTTGTGTCTCTAAAATTTTTATATTCAAACTTCCTTTAATTGCATATCTCAAAGTTGACTATGGATTCTATCAAGTTTTCCATTTGCATGCTTTGAATATTAGGAAAAACAAGTTTAAGTGTAATTTTGTATTTATTATCTTTTAAAATATGGTAGATAAATAAGTATTTAAGTTCTCGACAAATTGTTACATGGAAATTGTTGTAGAATAAGCATTTGAATTTAATTAAAATGTGATGTAACTAGTAAAAAATTATAATTACTCTTTTATTAACAATAATTTGAAAACCACTTTTTACATTAACACATTTTTATTGTTTCTGACGGGAGAAAATATGCGGGCCTTTCGTCGGTTTGTCAACTCCACGCACACGCACAATTAAACAGAAATCCTTTCTTTCAGGATTCAACTTGCCAGGAATCAATCAACCCCTTGTACCTGATTCCCTAATCAGTCATCAATAATCTGATTCACAACAAATTGAAGAGGTTCTTCTCTCGGATCCCTTTTCTTTTTCTCAGCCCATTTATCAATTTTGATTGATTAGTTGAAGAACTTTTTGTGGGCTATTTCCTGAATCTTGCTTCTAATTTGTTTGAGAATGTACTTCTATGTTTCGTTGCTAATTATCTAATTATCGTCTTTCCGCGAGAAGCCATTTGGCGAAAAGTAGTTTTTACTGTCTTTACAGAGTTCCTTTGAGGGAAATGAATGCAGTTTCATTGCGGGCATTCTTGAACTTTACGGTGAAGGCATTCAAGATTTATTTACATTTTTGAAGCTTTGAAAAAGTGAAAATTTAATTGAAATGTTATGTATTATCACAAGTCTGATTATGTTGACCATTGGATTTAGACTTTATTCTATTTTTCCCCTTCTTTTCAGTATGCATGGTAGTTTTTGTTAATTATTCATTTCTTGCTAAAAGCTCTTATCAGATACACTTGGGAACATTATTTGGAACCGAAGGCTGTAGGCATTTACATTTTATAGCATGTTATGCGAGGATTTGATAGTGGTAGCAGTCTGGCAGTACTAAGGAAAAAGAGAGAGAAAATATTGTTTATTCTACTGTGGTGTAAAGTGCTGTCCAATAGTGTGCACTAAACGTGCACTTAGAAGTTAGATATGCATGTAATCCACAACAATGCTTGAGTAATCTTGGATCATGATTAAGAAGCGAGTCATAAGTTCTAGGCAAATAGTTTTCATTAATTGATTTTCTTGTGGCTACTGTCTGGCTAGTTCTTGAAGTTCAATTTGAACCAGCGAAGTTGTCCTTAGATTTGATTATTTGACTAACATGATCTTGTTCTCATAATGTACGAATAAGGTATAATTTTGGTATTTTTCTGTTGACTTCCCGAATACGCTCATTTGTCCAGGAACTATTAATAATTCAATGATAATTGTTCTCACACATTTGACAAGATGAGTTGTATCATGGTCATTTTTTACATGAATGTACTTAGCAAGTAAGTATACTAGAAGAAGCCGATGTTTCACATACAGGAATGCTTGATTGGCATAGATGGATTGGCTTCAATTGACCTTCTTACTATGAGAATGCTAGAAAAATCAACTCTTGACCATTGTAGCTAGGAACAAATGGAATAAGAACTGAATCCTGAAATCAGCTGGTATTGGACTTTTTTCCATGGCGAGAAGGGATGGTATCACACTGCAATGCAATTTCCAAGAAGGGTTAGCAGGGAAAGCAACTTCTTTGATTATAGAAAGGACTAGGGGTCTAGCACTTTTTGTTTTGGGGGAATACGGCCTCGAACATCAAGCCAATGCGAAAGTGAGCATGTTTTACCCTAGCTTATAGTGAGCACAAGATAAACGCTTTTAAAGAGTCTAGTGCTTTTGTTTTGTGGGAATGCCGCTTTGTGCATCAAGCAAACGCGAAAAGTAAGCATGTTTACTCTAGTTTATAATAAGCAAAAAATTGACGCTATTAAAGATTGAGCAAATTAACCTTCTTTTGTTGGTCCCGGCGGCCCCCTTACATACCTTGCAATTATGTTTCTCATTTTGGAGAATAGGGAATATGAAGCAAGGTTGTAATATGGTAAGGAGAAGTTCACTTTCCCCAGCTCCAAACATACTTATCAATTGATAAGGTGAGGGAGGCTTCATTTAAGGAGCAAGATTGACAAGGCATGTACTGTCAACCACAAAGAGCTTGGTAGCCTACTAATTAAGGAAGCTTCATATTCTATTTAAGCTGGAAAGGCTTGAGTTTGACATTGATTGCCTTTGCTAACATGTAGCAATTGATCTTTCACTTTCCAGTCGTTTTCATGTATCAAATCCAATGTCCTCTTTCTATGAGTATGAATTCGATTTAGAAATTTGAATCGAACTAGCTCTGACAATGGAAAGAGCAAACTGCTTTTAGCTCATATTCAAGCTCACAGGGGTACAACCAATTAGGATAGATAAGTGGTAATAAAATAATGTGTGGACATAGAAAACCTCCCACTATAAATAAGAGAGATGCTTTCTCTAATAGCTTAAGCTTTGAACCACTCGGAGAGGGGACAATATCAGTGTTTGAAATGCCTGAAATGTGATTTAAATTCATTGTCTGAATAGTCTTGTTTCAGGTGATGGAAAAGTGAGAGAGTTCGATTTTTAGTTTTAGGACATTGGAGGAATTACCAAAGTTAACTTTTCTGTTGCTGGTAATCCTAATTGTACCCTGAGGGAGCTCATTATATCCATAATGCAATCACTTTTTGTTGATCATATGTATAACCATGTGGTCAATTTGGAATTTTTCTTTTCTTAGCAGGAAAGCATTTCTCAATATTTTTTTGCTACCAAACAAATGGAAAATTTAAAACGTCGAGCTTTTTTATTTTTTTCTCTTACCTTTCCGACTACTGTACTTGACAGTTTCATTTGTTGGAACTTCCTTTGCAATTGGTTGTGTCTTTGGACTACTTTTAATGGGTAATATTATTTCGGGATATTGTTGGCTAAATGTAAGGTGAAATCCTATAATATTCGTCTTTATTAATTTATTTGTTGAAGGTGTGAGGGATATTGAACTAAAGCATAATGAGTTGGTTGATACATCTGTATAGGATTTCCCATCATCGGGAAAGAGAATTTTTTATCATATTAAATAGTCATTTTGATTTGGTTCTGCTAGATATGAAGCTTTTTGCTACTTTCTTTCTTATTGGATGCAAAAGCTGTCATTTCAACAATATGGGGGTGACAAATAAACTGTATAGTTTCTCAGGTTTGTAACCATATAACATGTTTGGAAAACTGTACTCGGTTGGACTGGTTTAGCTTGTTTTTCTTCCTAGATGTTATCCATTACTGTCTGATAATTCCTACCAAACATATAATCAAGGATATTTAGAATTTCCTGCAACCTAGCACCGAATTAATAGCATCACTTCTACCACTTGCATAGCATATGGATAGTGGCCACTATACAAACTTGAGAAGGCAAGAGAAGTGCTTTTTATATGGTAGAGTTAATTCAGGTAGTTTCAGTTTAGATGACAAATTTGTGGGCGGTGAAGACTGATTTAATTAGTCTTACCACCTGCATTAGTGTAAATTGTTCTTAAAGAAGACAACAGTTGATTAACTTGTTCTTGAAATCAATGAAAGCTGAAGTTTTGGACTGCATCTAAAGAAATCCTTTGTTATTATTGAAGGACGAATGTGTTCTGATTTGATCTCTTTTTTGTGATAAGTTGTTCTGATTTTATCTCTTAATAAGTACAAGTTGAAACAAATTAATATCGTGGCTCTCGTTTTTATCAATTCCATTAAAATATTTTTGTCTTTCGGTTTTAGTTTCATCATGATTTAAGCATGTGAACTGCACTTTCTTCTAACCACTGACTGATGACATAGTGGCCTGTTTTATCGAACAATGGCGTAATGGTGGCTTCTGAAAGATACTTGGAGGTTAATGTGCTTTTTACCCTAAAATCAATTGGGATGCCCAGGCCCGGCATGGCCTGGAACGTAAGAAGCCTGCCCATATGTACTTCCATATCATCTGCTGTTTGGGTCATTGAGGAAACAGGGCCAGAGATTTTAGGCCTTCTGTTTCTCTTCTTTACCCCTTTTGTCCTTTTTCAAAGTCGTAGATGGCCAGTAGTCATATCCAATTCTTGTTTAAATTTATGTTTTTCTCATATTTTCTATTATCTGATCGTGCACAGCACGGGAAAGGTGGACTGCATTTCAGAATTGAGTGAACGTCAATATGAGTTTGGCTTGTCTTGTATGCCATGGTGTAGAAAGTCCATCACATTCCTTCAGAAGTTACTCAGTATCAAGTTCAGACAACGAGGGACGATGTTCTGCAGTTGCCAATTGCTTGACTAGGAAGACTTCATTTCCGCATCCTCGAGCTAACCCTCGGATTACACCATCAAAAGTGATGCCTCAACCCTCTGTCCAGAGTAACATGGTCGCAGGCACCCCGCGTCTGGTCCGAAGCCATGCTATTAGACGGGACCTTGTGAGAGATTGGAACTTCGATGAAGTTATGTTGGAGCGCTAGTCGAGAAACCAGGGATAGGAAGAGATCAAAGCAAACAATCTATTGTCACCTTCTAAACTCAAGAGGCGGAGCTTTGAGTTTAGTGTTTTCGTTTTTTCTTTGTTCTGGTTAAGTTACCGTTTGTGCGTAGCGAGTGTATGCGCATTTGTAAGAACGTTGATGGAATTTGACCCGAAACTTTTGTGTACAACTTTTAATTTATTTGCTTCCGTAATTTTTCACTTCTTGTGTCACAAACATTTTTAGCAATACGGAAAAGTTATTTTTCTAGGAAGGAAGTTGAGATTATTGTCATTGAATGGAAAGTAACTTAGAAGTAGTCAATTGTCTGTAATTGAGTAGTAATTGGTTCATATAGTAATTGAGTAGAAAATGTCATAATTTTTTTTTTTAGAGGCTTGTTTGGGAGCAATTTTTCATCTAAAAAATTGATTTTTTGATCATTATTTCACTATTTCAGTTGTCATATTTGACTTCTTCTTTCACAAATGAACTTTATTTTTCTCCTAATAGTCAAAAAATCAATTCTCAAAATCATTTCGAAAGAGGCTCTAAATCTTTGTATTAATTATGTGGCCCCAAACTTTAGGATCGAATTCCGGGTGAAAAAAGAGCTTCTCTTAGACCACAAATTCCTCTTGTGAAAACTCTTTTCAACAGTGTTTTTAACAGTACTCAGGTCTAATCAATCGATAAGTGATGTGATGGATGAATCAAATTTATAAAAATAATATTATTCATAATTACAATGTATATTAATATATTGAAAAATGAATTAAATAGTAAAATCAGGAGTAATTAATATTACTTAGGCCCCGTTCGGTATCATTTTTTTCAAATGCATTTTTTTCTCTTCTTTTTAACTACACATTCTTTATTAAAATAATATTACACGTAAATCAAAAACATTTCCTCATTTTTCAACCACACATTTTCCATCAATTTACTATTTTAAAATTCATTTTTACATGAAACTAAATCCCGTTTGGTCCCCATTAAATTACATTTCATTACATTCAATTGTTCTCTCTCCTATTTTAAATCACACAATCTTTCATAAAATAATATTACACGTAAATCGAAAAATTTTCCTTTTTTTTCAACCACTCATTTTTCAAAAAAAATATTATTCTTCCCATTTTCATTACCAAAAAATGGGAATCAAACAGGAGCTGAGTCTCAAACACCTCTTAATTTGAGAATATATACTACGGTAGCGGTCACAATTTCTCATTAATTTGCGGACGAATCAAATTCACACAATTTGATGAATTTTACAGCATTGTGGAGTTAAAATTGCATTCATTCATGATGCGTTCTATCTCCTAAACTTTCAACTTACACAATGTGCGAGTTTCAATAATAAATCTTGGCCCTCAAATCTTAATTACTTGTAATTTTTTAAAAAACATTTAAGTTAGATTTCACAATGTAAAGAAAGAAAATAAGTAAAATTTTATTTATCATATTATATATTCTTAACCTCTAACCTATCATGATCATGCACTAAGGTTTAAGGGTATGTTTGTGGATATAAGGCCCTGTTGACTTACATTTTTTCAAAAAAATACATTTTTAAATTGTGATTTGACATAATTTCAACTACACATTCTTTAATAAAATAATACTATACAAATTCAAAATTTTTCCTTATTTTTTAACTACACATTTTCCGTCAATACGCTATTTAAAAATGCATTCTTATGAACATAATGTGACTCAAACAAGGGCTAAATTGCACATGATCAAAAAAAAAAAAAAAAAAAAAAATATATATATATATATATAGAAGAAATTTATGAGTTGTAGTGTCTAATTTTGGTAGAAAACCGTGTGAGTGGCTATTTTTGAACGGTAATTGACTTGATTTTGCTGTCATTTGGGGTTGTTGTTTGTGTAGGGTTGGTGGGGATTGACGAGGAGATGGTGTTGGTGCAAAAATCCGATGGCAAGGGTGGCCGAAAGTCGGGTAGTGGTCAGTTTGTGAGGATGAAGACGACAGCTCATGGTGGCTGGAGAAGAGAAAATGACAATTTCGATTTCCAGAAAAGAACACGTTTTTAATTTTCTTGTTTTAAAAAATATTTTTTCAAAATGACAAAAAGAACGTGTTTTCAATAATTTCAAAACAGACACTCAAAACATAAAACTCAAAATGAATTCAAAATTTAAAACTCAAATACAAAGAGAACAACCTCTAAGCTTCTAATATTGATTTTCCCTCATCCTTCCTCCTTTTCCCTCTCTATTAACTGTCTTCCCCATGATGGATCCTTACTCTACAAACTGTCATTGGCTTCTACAATTTCCTAACCAGAGGAATCGATTATCTTGTACGAGTTTTCCTTTCCAATAATTTCATGTCAATTTAGTTCTTCCAAAGAAATTTTTGTTGGGAATTTGTATATGAAATTGGTTTTGACCAATTCTTAAATATTTAAGTGAAAATTGTTATTCGGTGAAGGAAAAATTAAGACAAATTTAAGTTACTTAAATACATGAATTATTAGAAAATTACATAGAATATTATGAAATATTCTAAAAATTATTTGACCAAAAAAGTGTGTCTTTCTATATGAAAGATAGTGACTTTTAGCATTATCATTTTTTAAAAGAAGTATCTCTTCAAATATAAAGATTAATTCTAATAGTTGTATCCTTCCATAGGTCATGTTTTTTGAGACAAACCTTTTCAACGTCTATATATAGACCTCATGTATTTGTTTTCATTTATTTATTTTATAATTGCATTAGCATACTAATGTATATTCACTTCAAAATTCTATATTTATGTTGAGTCAAATTTCATATAAAGAGGGTTCAAAACATAAGTGTATTGGTCTATGTACTTTGGAGTGCCTCTTTTACGAGATGTGGTTGTTGTACCTTAGAAGACGAAAGTCAAAAAATCGTTAGCATCTGTGCGGGGTATTAGCATCTTAAGGAGAAAGAGTCGAACTCTTGTCTCAACCAAATTTATATTTATGCATTTCTCGTTCCTACTTTACATATTTGATTTTGGTAAATCAAAATTTTGTCCCATTTTATATACACAAAAAGTATGTTATTTGAATATATAATTTATGCTCGTCTATTTTTTCAACAATCTTAAGGCAATAATGTGTTAAGCATTTTATATTCTAATTGTTGTTTAGAATCTGGAATTCTACTTATTTATTTTCTCAAAGAAGACATTGGTATTCTTTTATCCTATGTCTTCTACATCCGGTTTCAATTTGTACAGAATTAAATTACCATCTTGTTGACTAAATCATAATTTAGCAATGACAATTAAGATAATGCATAATTTAGCCTTTAAATGGCAGTATATTTGTGCTGATTAAGATGAAAAATTGTGAATTTGAGTCTGATATGCCAACCATTATGTTCCTTAATGTTAAAATTGCCTCAATTCAAAGTAGCCGACTATCATGATGCTCATACAAAAAATAAAAAGATGAAAATGACAAATTGTTCAAATAACTTCTCCATTGAATTTTTATTTGGTCAACTCGTGCTGCTAATGGAGAAACTGCAATGTGTTCCTGTCTAGAAAAAGATGAATGGAAGATAACCGGGAACATCAGATAAGTTTATATGGATTTGTATAATTCATTTCTTTCAATTCAATAGATAGGTAGATGATGTTATTGTGGTTGAATGGTAAAAAATGGTGGTTGATGGATAAGTTCTTTCCCCACCAAACACCGTTTATAGTGTACATAAATGAGGAAACTAATTTGTTAATTTTGGCAGTAGACGGAAAGGGGAAAAAAAAAAAATACTCTAACCATTGGACACATATAAATGCTTAAATGATGTCAACTAATTGTTTAAGTATATGAACTTTTCATTGAAGACAGATTACTATTCTTTTTTGAATAGATGCCTTATTGTTTGATATGAAATGACATATATTGGAAACAAATAGCACTATCTCGTGAAGTGTCATAGTTTTGATAAGTTGCATACATTCGGAGAAGTTGCAATTCTTGTGAATCAAGATGCTTAGCCTTCTTCAATTTGGTACTATAATAATATATGTGTATAGATGCAGCATATTAACTTCAATCTTGTAACCAATTAAATTGGTATATGCTTTGAAAGCATTGTTGGTTTACGAATCCTAATTTGTGTTTTGGTCTATGTGTTGATCTTGATCAAATTTGTATGTTTAAATTAAAAAGAATTGATTGAAGCACAAGTATCTTTCATTTGTATTATTTGTGAATTGGTACCCTAAATTGAAACCCTAAATTGAAAGTGTTTAGACTTTCACGAAGCATTCGATATAGACATTATTTATTTGATAGATGAATTGAGTTATAAAAGAGTTGATAAACTCTAAGTTCAAGTATAACCTAAAAATGTGGGAATTATCATTAATGATTGCAAGCTTATATGAAAAGTTCAAGATGTGTAGATGCAACACTATTACTTGCACATACATTCCTAATTGAGGGACTATGGAGGGAACTTATTTACAAGTTACATTCCTCATACCTAGGGGTGGCAAATGGGCCGAACGGAAGCTCGCGAAAACGGAGCTCATGGGCGGCTCGGACTCGTAAAAACAAGAGCCCGAGCGCGAGCCGAGCGGGCCGGTTCGATGAGCGAGCCGAGCTCGCTCGGGTCTCACAAAAAACGTGCCGCTTGCAGCGAGCCTGTGAGCGGCTCATTATAAACGAGCCACAAGCCTCGTTAAAAAAGTGATCGTTTCGGTCACTTTATGTAACGGTCACTGACTTTTGTTAGTGACTGTTTCAGTCCCTGAATGAATTTTTTTTTTACCGTTTTGGTCCTTAAATCTTTTTTTCTTTTCTTCTTCTATAAATAGTGGCATTTAGCCACAAAATTTTCTACAATTCACTCTCAACTCTCAATTATCTTTCTCTCAACTCTCTTGTGTTGTATTGATAGTTGTGCAATTTTTATATACAATTTATACAATATCCAATTCTCATTTATCAGTTCTCATTATATTTATTGAAATTTCATCCAATTTTCATTTCTCACTACATTTATACAATTATTTTTTTATTAGTTATTAGTTATTATAATTAAACAAAAGGATCCACGCATATTTGACGAGAACTTGTTCGGTGTGGGAGGAAACGAATCGCCTATGACACCGCAAAGTCAATTTCAGAATCAATTTAAAGGTCTAAATGACATACTCCTACCTGAAGATATTCTAGATTTGGGTCTTCATCATCATGCAAGCGGCAATCCAAATTATCCAATTAATTTGGATGATGTTGACGTTCCCG